CAGTTGCTTTTTACTTAGGGTCTTATCTTCATTGAAAGACAAGAAGTTAAGTGATCTGTCTAGAGTAACAAAAATAGAACTTGATAAAGAGCTGTTTGAGCACAAAGTACCTACTCTTAAAGGAAGAAAAGAAACTAAATCATGCACATGCTATGAAATGTAAAGGAATTTCAGTGAAGGGATATATAGTGAAAAATGTTTCCCTTCTACCCATGCTCCTCAGATACCAGTTTAGTGGGATATCCGTTACCAATTTCTTGTGTATCTCTTATGTATATATGTGCATAGTGCATATATATACACAGGTATCCATAAATATCCTGAAAACACAAAAAGATAGTGTCATAACATGATTTTTTTTTGCCTTTTTTACCCATCTACCTGTCTTAGCAACCATTACATATCAGTACATGTTGAGTGGCATTCTTGGTTTGCTAATATCTGCAGTGTTTATTGTCTGTAGAGAATTCTGTTTGTGTGACTAGCCTTACTTATATATCCTTAAGTTCTTTCCAATCTCCTGTATTTAAAAAACATGCTGAAATGAATGTTCTTGTATATGGAGCTTTTAGCTCCTACTGGAGTATACATGCAGGATATATTCCTAGAAACGGAATTTTTCAACAAAAGGGTATGAGTGTTTTGATTTGTGAGGCACTGCTAAATTGCCTTTCAGAAGGATTGTTTCAGTTTGCACTCCCATCAGTAATATTTTCCTGTATCCTCCTGAGCTCAGGGTGTTGTCAGACATTTTCATCTTTATCAACCTGATAAATGGAAAATTTTCTTTTTTTATAGTTTTAATTTGCATTTATTTAATTATGGGTGATTTTGAGAATTGTAGGTATAAAAGTAATTTGTATTTCTAGTCCTGTTAAGTGTTCAAATGGTTGCCTCCTAGATTGTTAGTCCTTTCAATTCGATTTCTGGTAGTTGACTGTAGATTAGTGGAATAAGCTCTTATTTTCCTGTGTGCCACAAATATTTTTCTGATTTTTTTACCACACTGTTATTCTAGACAGAATTTTATTTTCAGTTCCTTTATGGCTCCTGTTGCTGTATTTTAAATTTTTTTTTTTTTGGTGCAAAGAATAGGATTGGATCCCATTTTATTTTCCTTTCCAGATGACAGAGCTTTCCATTTCAACAACTATGCAATGTTACCTTCTTAAGAAAATTCTCAAAGATAACATCTTAACAATTCTATCTGCCATGTGTCCCTCAGCGCCCAGTAATAGTGCCTTTCAAGCTGCTTTCTCAGAGTTGGGTTTTGGTTGTTCTATTTTAATAAATTAAGTGATTTATTTTTATTGAGATGTAGCTGACATGTAACACTGTGTAAGTTTAAGGTGAGCAATATGTTGATTTGATATGTACTATACCTTAAACTCACACAATGTCACATGTCATTTCTATATTTCACAAAGTGGGAAACAGCCTCAGAGAGGTGCAGTGATTTCCAATGTCACACAGGCAGTAGGTGAGGAAGCAGGGGCTGGAACAACTCTACCATGCTGCCTGACAGAAAGGCTAATGGCTGGAGGCAGTGCTCGGGTCTTCAGAGGTCAGAACCTCAGTGACGAGCAGGCTGGGATGGAAGGAGGGTGACTTGGAGCCTGGGCTGGGTCCTCCCAGGGTGCCTCCCCACCCAGCCAGCTCTCTCTCTTGCTCCCATCTCAGAGGCCACCATGGGGTAGAGGACAGAGCTGGGATGGGTACAGATAGAATGTGGGGATTCCTTTTCTTGAAGACACTGGGGTGCTCATTGGAAGAGAACAAGCTAAGAAACTGGTAAGATGGAATGCAAGATCCACCATGCCCACCAGCTAAGCAGCCCTAGGGCCAGCTCCTGGCTGGAAGACCAGGACTTCACCCAGGTCCAAAGGGGGTGGGGAGACACACCACAAAGGAAAGCCTGTGCCCTGCACCTGCAGGACATACTAGCCCTCTGACACATGCTGCAGCTCCCTAAATGGTCTCCTTCAGACACATGGACCAGGCTGGGGGCTTAAAGCAGCCACTATGGCAGGGAGACAGCCAGAGGTGGGGGCCCATCTGAGATGGCCTGGAGCCCCCAGAATTCTATCTTCTGTCTGTTCATCTGGGTATTTTCCCCAAGGCTCATCTTGTCTTGAGCACTCCTGCCAAGAAATAGCCAGGCAGCCAGTGACCACATGGTGAACCTTGCCTGTTGTTTTGACGCTGTTGGCTTACAGGAAGATGGCAACTGTTCAAAAGAATTGCATGCACTTCTGAGATTTTATGTGGCCAATCTTTCAAAAATAAGCCCTAGATTTTCTGAAGCATTTAATGTCACCTGGTTTGAACTTGATAAAAGTGCATGAAAGCCATTTTAAAATTTTTATAAGTATAAGCACATGGGCAGATTTTTGAGAGAATCCTAAAAGTTGTCTTCTATTATATTTAACTGCCCCCAGGAAGTTGCTTTTTACTTAGGGTCTTATCTTCATTGAAAGACAAGAAGTTAAGTGATCTGTCTAGAGAAACAAGAATATGGCTGGCCAATTTAATATTGTTGTTTCAAGAACTTGATTAAGGTCACTGTCTTGCCCAAGGGTTTCAGCCCTGAGCAAGTTCATTATGGATTCAGGGAGACAGAGGAATGACAATGGAACACTCTTGGGGTAAAAGTATTTATACCCAGCTTTATTCTACCAGCAATAGGTCAAGCATTAGAATCACATCTGCATCCAGCTGTCTGCAGGTCTATAATCCAACTCATATCTGCCTCTGGGCAGAACTCTTTATATAGTGACTGAGTCAATGATAGCTTATTGCCTAGGGTGTGGAAACATAACCCTAGAAGTAGGCCAATTACATTATTAAGTAATTTAGGGTCAGGTGAGGATCCTGGCCATAGGAATGTCTATTTTCCCCACAATCATTAAATGTTATATCTAAAAACAAGGTTTTTACCTGGATTTAAAATGAAATAAACAAAATGCCTTAGTAGTGGTTAACAAGATCTCTTAGAAAATGTATGCATTATTATGTATTCAGGCTAATAACCCAAATGTACTTTTTATAATAAGAATCCATATTTTCTGGATTCTTATCTGTTGCAATAAAAGGTTAATGTGCTTTGCAACCCCTTCTGCACCAAATTGCAAAATTGACAATTAGGAAAGTAGTTGCTATTGCTATTAAAAGAAAAGGACATTTGTTTTAGTTTGGTAAAATAATTCATGTACTTAAGGAGAAGTGAGGCATAGTGAGACAGCAAGAGGTGGGAGTCAGACACAGCTGGTGCCGGTCCTACTTTTGTCACTAATTTCTCTGTCCTTAGGGATAGATACTTAACATCCAAGACCCTCAGTCTTTTCTTCTCTAAAATGGGGATAACAAAAGTTATCTTGGAAGATAGTTGAGAAGGGAATGGTACATAGCAGTCACTAAATAATGGTATTATTATTATTAATGACATGGAAGTGAATTAGTAGTCAAGAGCAAAAATGTACTGCCTTTGAATGGGAAATAATTAAGTTCTTGATCTAAACCTGGTTACAGTTACTATAATGTAAATTAAACCATAATGTCTTTGGCTTATAGAGATTTCTTTACATCTAATAGGACAGAAACAGTTTGGAATTTGTAGGTGACTTTATAGTATAAAATCAGTGCCTGGTGGGTGGAAATATTACCCCCAAAGTTGGAAATATTTTGTGTTCCCATGCAGCTGAGACACACTCTGCCACAGTGTTATTATTTCTAAAATATTGAAGATGGGGAGCCACTTTTGGGCTAAAATTAAAAGACATAATGGTTTTGTTTTGGAAAAATGGATTCATCAATATGTTTTTTTTTCCATGTCTATAAAAAGTATTTGAAAATGAAAAAATAAAGTAATAAAATATCTTGGTAGGTATTTTTCCCTTGGATAATATGGTACGCCTTCAAATCCTTTTGGAAAAGATTATTTTGTGCTCTGGTCAAGGTGGCCTACTTTCTTCTTGTGTTGAAGGGCCTACCAATTAGGAGTTATTTGTATTTTCCCAGGGAGTGTCCACTTTGGGAAGAAAGAAAATTATATGCCTCAAGAATATGGCTGGCCAATTTAATGTCGTTTATGTCTGTGCTAGGCCTGAAAGGAAATACATAGAATTCAACTTCATTTCTTTTCTGGGATATGTAGTGTCCCATTTCATATTATTATACAATAATATTCTTTCCGCTGTTTTAGTGTGGTCAGAGGTGAATTCTTTAAGCACGGATACTTTGATACTGAATTCTAGCAATGAATTCTAGCACAGAATTCTAACTGAATTCTGTGAGCTTGCAATCTTAGCCAAACCACATGTATGTTTAAGAAATGGAGGAAAGAGGATGAATCAGAAGTCTTTCCTTACAAGAAGCTTTCAATACATATGTGAGTTTTCCCTCTTCTGAAAGATTGCTTAAACATTTTAATTCCTGTAAAGTGTTTATTTTAGGAAATTGTCTCCAGAAATAAATTCTTCCCTCTGGAATTATTTCATATACTTGTGGACTTGTTTCTGAGTCCTAAAATCAGTATCTCAGCCTCCTGGGATATTATAAGTATGCGACTGTCATCAGAAAGAATGTGTAACTGCGATTATCCTTAGACCAAAAGGAGTTTGCAATGGACATAATAAAATAAATTTCTAAAGCACTGATAGTCAAGAGGAATCTAAAACGTGGTGTTGGCCATATTCTTTCATTCATTTGTGCCAGGCGCCCTCTCCTGGTCACTGTGACTAATGTTCTGGAGCGTATTCTTTTTAGGTTCTGCTTTGCTATGAACTGTGTATGTAATTGCACATGTACTCCATGCTAGGCTTTCTATATGAAAAAAGAAATCTGAAGATCAGTGACTTTTAACTTTACAAGATTTGGAGTCTTATTTTTCTCCCTCACCCCTGACACTTACGATCACAGGGCAATGTTTGATTAGCCTGTAGGGTAGGATGACACTTTGTTGTGCTCTTCTCTTTTTCTTATGACTGTACCATCAATTCAAGAGGATCCTGCCTGTGTCTTGTTTGTATAAGACGGGAGTAACACTTGGAACAGGAAGCCAGTCTGGGACCTTTGCAGACCAGGGAGTGAACATCTTCCTCTCCCCGTGTTCACTCAATCCACGGCAGCAGGTGGGTAAGCCCCAGGAGCATCAGACCCCAGGGGAAAGGGGAGAACCCCCTGTGTTTCAGTGGTAAACTTAAATATCTTTGAAATCACTGACTTTTACTCATTTTACCTTAATTTTTTGGTATCAGGTAGAATGAGGGTCTCAGAACCAAAATGTGAAATTTATTACTGAGAAATTGTATTTTCATACACCCGTTTAAAAATTGTGGTTGAACTAAGAACTCTCATACCCCATGACTTCAACAGGAAAACACAATCTTTGATCACAGAGCTTAGCATATTAGACTTGGAAGTGACTGTTGATGTCCCCTAATCTAGTTTAGAGTCTAGGATATACTTGAACTTTGCTTCTCTTCTGAGAGGATAAGGTAAGGGCATTCCCCAGACAAAGCACAGGCTTGCATACTGTTTGATTTTTAAAAAGCAGTGGGTTCCCCACAGTCAGTGCCCTGTAGCTGTGATGCAAACCGCCCTATGCACTGAGTCCATCTGAGCATATTGCCCCATGTGTGCGGGACTCGAGGACAGGGGAGCCAGTGAGAGGGTGCTGATGCCAGGCTGCGTGCTGTGCCATGAGTGACTGAGGGCTGTGTTTCTGATTCAGGAGTCTCATGTCTTCAGCCAGCACCCGTGGAAACAACCACAGTAACTTATTAGTTTGTAGGTGGGGTAAAATCAAATCCCAGACCTGACAATAGCCTCCTCCTCACCAAGTTGTAAATATTTTTTCACTGTACCATTTTACAATTGATATTTTTACTTTCTTTATATGTTAGACAATAAGCCAATTTCAAAAGTTAATTATCATATTGTTCTATTTCACTTTGATGATAAGCTATTCACAAAAATCAATTTTAAAATGTGAGAATGCATTAGTCTTATAAATAGCATATTTCCTGTCATAAAAAATAATTTTAGCATAATTTAATAGTCATGTATATGCCTTGTTCTTCCAAATAAGAAAATAGCTAAAATCCAGCACAGATTTGATAATTGTCTGTTTCCTGCACCAAGATTTGGATTATCTATTCATTTACTACTGTTCCCGATACATAAAAAGTGCTCAACTAATATTTGTTAAATGAGTTAATGAACAGAAATGCTCTACATTTTGTTAACTCCATGATGATTTCTCCAAGATAATTTCTCCATTATGATAAAAATGACTACCATGAGTAAATTTCAAATAATGACTAGAATGGTTGTGGGAAAGGGCTCATTATTTTAAGGTTGGTTTTATTTTAATTGGCTACATACTGTCCCAGTAATTTTTTGCCATTATAAAAATTAATTAGAAACATAGTATAATTATGCCTAAAGTAAAGAACAAAAAGCAGAAGTGAAAAAAAGCTTTCTACTATGGAAAATTTCAAACATAAATAGAAGTAGAGAGATTAATATAATGAGTTCCCAAGTAACCCCCACGCTGGTTCAGCCATTTTTTGTCAAACACAGCCAGCCAATCTCACATCACCCATGGTCCATCCCACTACACTCCTCCACTGGATTCTTTTGAAACAAATACATGAGAGCATGTCAATTTATCTACAAATACTTGAGAACAAACACATTTTTAATGAAAAAAATTAAAATTTCCAGAAAGGGTAGTTGATTGTCATGAACTTAGTATTTCTATTCAGAGTGAAATGAGCAGATGTAGTATTACACACTAAAAAGTACTTTTATATCTTTGATATGTCAGCTCTAACCTCTGCTCAAGCAGGAAGTTATTTTAAAGCTCTCTTTGCTTTTGATTTGTATCACTGAATTTAGGAGATAGTGATGTTTCTTTTTTTTGGCTTTCAACAACAGAAATTTGTTCTCTCAGTTCTAGGTACTAGAATTCTTTTTTTTTTTTT